CATAAACTGCCTTAATGTTGGGCAAATAAAAAAAAATTGGTTATACTGTAAATTACATGTTTGTAGCCTCGTTATTTAGTCTGAGTTCAAATCTATCTACCTCAAATAACTAAACATTGTTTATTAAGGCCACTCACGGAGAGTAAAACGGCATGTTGTATGCAGACCTGCTGTTTCAGAGAACCCTCTGCTGCTCTCATACAACGCAAATATAACAATGCATAATGAATGTCATGCTTACATATTAAAAAGGAGGAAATGGAAGTGGTTGAATAAAATAACAAATGAATTGCTCTAATTTGAACAATGACAAGGTGCTGTCCAGGATTATTATGCTCTCGTCAACTCCGATTTGTTTTACATAGAGGCTTATGCATCTCAGTGATGAATAGAAACGTTACTTATGTGAAATTATATGTTGAGCTCTTGTAAAGGTGTGTGACATACGAGAGTTGTTTGGCTGGCAAACAGAAAACCAATACAGCTTCTTTTTTTTTCTTTAAGAGTATTCCACCAAACTAGGATTGCATTTCTACATACAGCATTGTAACACTCTTGATGGACGGTTTAAAAAATAAAGCATCAAAATAAAACCATAAATATTGTCTTTTTCTATTCCAATAAGTCATATATTGCTTCCCACATTACCCACAATTCAATTAATAAACCAACGATTTCAACAAATATCAAGGTTAACAATTAAAAGTGGTAAAATGATCTTGAGCGGCTAGCCTCAGGCAGAGATGAGTGGTGTGCTACAGTGATATGTGCAGCTCACCTCTTTCTACCTCTATCTACATGAGTTTTCTTTTCATTTTCACACTTATCTTAAAAATCTGTGCAAGAGCAACATCACTTGAGGCCTTTTTAGATTTCAAAGCTACCTTTGGAGCCACACAACTTTTGTTTTAGTCAGGCCGTGAACAGTTCAAGACCTACAGTATGAACAGACTTTGATGTATTCAATATTTGAATTCCTCTTTAAAACAGTAGCTTTATATTCCAACAACCATGTGTGCTGCCGTCAACCAAAGTTGTGGACCAGTGGTAGTTAAATGATCCATTGTGAACTGTGTTTTGACCGTCTATTTTTAAATAAACCATAGCCACAGTTTCAGTGTGAGATTTGAAAAATGGAACTGATTACATTTTCTGGAAATAAAAAGGAGCATCTAGCCCGGCCAGTGATGGATGCTGTGTGTTTGTGCTCAATTAGTTTGACTGTTTTGGTATGGCCTCAATTTGATAAATATAGATTCAAAATGTCTACTGCATACTTTATCACAGTCGTACATGTGTGCACATTAAATGTGTACGTGTGTGTGTATGTGTGTATTCCTATTTTGGCTAAATTATGGGTTTCTCATTAGCAACATGTAAATATTTGGGCGTGCGGTACATATCTTGCTGTGAAAGCAGCTTGATGCCTTTGAACAATAAAAAATCATCTGCTTATCAGCTAAACCTAACAGGCTCCAGATTCTGCAAGATGGGCAGACAAGAACAGATGTTAGGAGTGAAGTTTGTGTGTGTGTGTGTGTGTGTGTGTGTGTGTGTGTGTGTGTGTGTACGTGTGTGTGAGAGAGAGGGGACAAATAAATTGTATTGCCTCATTCTTAACATGTTTATATTTAAGATTGTAATGAGGCTTTTGAATTGTGGATCATTTAATTGTGTTAACAACACGCAATACACTCAACACTACAGCTGGAGTTTCAAAGCTGCTGTGCTCTGAATATTTCTCTTTCTGGCTCAATGCTTGTGTGTCTATACGGCTTATTTTAATAGTCTCTAACACAAACCCAGAGTCAAAAATATTCCTATACTAACAGTCTGATGGTTTTGCTCAGCTATACCAAACACACCTGCATACAAACTGCCATTCAAAATGCAGACAGACTTTGTCTCTTTTGCTTCTTTCTGTCTTTTCAAGATCTAGGTACGCGAGCCAGTAAAACAGGGCGTATTTCTGAAATTACAGATTGATGTGTGTGTGTTCGGACCTTTTGTCCTTCAGTGCTTCCTGCAGGGCCCAGACCCAGATCCCCAGAGCGTCAGCTATTTGACAGCTCCAAAAGCAAACTTGCACACACTCACGCACGACACACTCACACACACACTCTCACACACACACACACACACACACACACACACACACACACACACACACACACACACAATGACGCAGACCATATTGCAATAACATCGCCTAATGCTCATACTCTTTGTGTCTTATTTCTTGGAACATGAGTCTGAATCACTTTAATGACTGCATTACATTTTTAAGAATTGTTCTTGATGTCACTTGTATTGGCCTCTACTGTAGGAACCCCATAAGTACTGACAGATTGAATGAAGCACAGGGAGGAAACAAGCTCATTGCAGTGGGAGATTAAATGTAGATTTCACATGTATAGGAAAGGATTATCCCAGCATCGCGTCCCTACACACATCATAGCGGAATAGGGAATGAATGATGAGCTGCATGCATTAGTGCAATAAAACACATTAGAGCCATTACCAAAACATCAACATGGTTTCATTAAAAAGAGCCAAAGTACACAAAAACTTGTGCAGACATTAGAAGATTTCTTGGATCATAAAAAGAGATAGCTAGAGTTACTGTTATGACACCAATTCTGCTGATGCTCTGTGCTAAAACATATTTGATGGGAGGAACTAGCAGCTTTCATTAAATACGTGACCTGACTTGATTTGGACCCATTTACGGGATTTATGCAGCACTGAAAACCAAACAGTTATTCAGAACATTAGCCGATATTCTTTATTGTTTTTTTTCTCCTCCTCCTCCTTCTCATCATCATCCTCTTCTGTGTTGTGCCTGTGTGTGTACAGGCTATGGATTTGTGGACTTTGACAGCCCTGCAGCAGCCCAGAAGGCTGTGGCCTCACTCAAAGCCAGCGGAGTCCAGGCACAGATGGCCAAGGTAAGCTTCATCCTCCACTGCCTGGTTTGCTTTATGTGTTGTTATTGAGGTGTTTTGCTTCCTTGTGCTGATATTCTCCAGATACACATAATCACTGTCTGTGAAGCCTGAAGAAACCCAAGGGTGCTGAGGTTATTTGTGGTGCTAATAATACTTGGGACACCAGTGTTGATTATCATAACAAAGATATCACTGGATGGTCTCTAACGGCCCCTACACACGGCGGCGTGCCCATTCACTTTGAATGGGGTGACGTCACGCTTCACCGAACTGCATTGTGGGAGCAAAGCTAGCGTTGCTCGCTTCAAAAGTTGAGCAATGTTCTACTTTTGAAGCTTCGACGGAAGCGTCAGCCAATCGAATCATATGCCAGTACAAGCTCTAGCCAATCAAACCGCTGCTTGTGTGTCCGGGGCGGGAGATTCATGTGATTGGTTGCTGGTCGAGCGTCAGACATGCCCGCCGGCAAGCTTCAACGCACGCCGCTGTGTGTAGGGGCCTACGTATCAGAATGGATTCATGGGAGACATAGATGCAGCTTTAATTCAGTCATGATGGAATTATTGATTGAGCTTGTATAGAGATATTGTAAATGGCTATGGTCATGCTCAAACTGTTGATTTAATCCCAAAACAGATGGGAAAAAGTATGGAGCAGATTATCTTCGGAAGTTATCAACGCATTATTAAATCATCCCTTCTTTAGTTGGGATCACTTCCATTTGTATGTGTCATAAACACATGTTTAATGTTGTGGATTGAAACAAAACAATTTGGTTAGGTTTGGAAAAATAGGTAAGTAAGTAACATACATAGGTTAAGTATTCAATGTACATTTCATCAGTTCAGCATGTTTTGTATTGTACGTCTTGACTTTTTGTTAAACACGGGGAAAAAACAGAGAGATCCCCTCTGTGAAAGTCCTGTATTTTTTTAATTGATGTGTTTTTTTGAGCCACCTATCCACTCTGTCCTCCTGCCTGCACAGACATGACTTCCTCATTTGCTCTTGTCATAATTACTACACCATCCTAATTATATTGAACCCCCCTGCTTTAACCAAGTTTACCAATGGACTACAATGGCCTCAGTAAGAAGGGAGGGCATGGCGAAACCAACACAAATCTATTCTCCCAATGACAATTTATATTGACCATTCAATTGACTAGTTCTGTTTGATTTGTGTTTGTACTTATAGTTGAAGGTGTGTGTGTAAATGCTAGAACAAGGCTGTGCCAGAACATGTGGGCCAGACCAGCACAATCCCATTATCCTTCAATGGGTTTTAAGAGAAAGCACTGAATATCCTGCCTTGCTTTCCGATTCATTAAAGCTCCATTGCTGCATACTTCCTTTTTATAAATGAGAGAAGAGTGCAATTAAAATGGGCCAGTCTTCAGGCACCAGGAACATCCCATTGAATTAAACAGCAGCAAGCCTCTGAGCCACCTTTGCCTTGCTCTTCTATTAAACCTCTTTTCATTAGACTTCCATCTCTTATTTTGTGTCTAACGGCTTGAGGGGGCATTTGAAATAGCTGTGTTGATGTGTTTAGCTGTTATTAAAGAAAGGAGAACCCTCGACTCCTTGGAGATTGAGTTTTCCGGAGGGAAGGAATTGAGGGCAAGGAGTCAATTCCAAATGAAATTACACTGACTTCTTACTGTTTCATGAACTAATTATGCTGCAAGATGCTGATGTCCCAGCTAACTTTCCTGAATCAGGGTGAGATGAGAAAGTCTCAAAAATATACTGTTGGGTTTCCAGCCTCTCACATTGTGTAAGATGAGCAGTTTAATTGGGGTTTGTCTTGGTATTAACACATTCAGTACCAATTAGACTGCCATGCTATTTCCCAAATCCTTCTCAGAGTACGCTGAGGTTTGCTAGGTTAGCTGGGAGTGAAACTTTTGTTCGTTCTAATCGGCTAGATAATTACCGGTATAAGTGTTTCCACTAAAGACAGCATCGAGGTGGCAGTAGGACGAAACAAAAAAAGCTTTTGTGAAAGAAAGATGTACAATGGAGTACATTTTGCAGCCCGGTGGGGGGGTTATATTCCCTGGAAAAACACAGAAATCATGAGGTTCAAATCAACAGAAAAACAAGACTTGAATAAAAACTGCTCTTTGCCAAGTTTTATCTCGCAAATGTATGACCTTATAATCTTAGAGAATATTTTTAAGTTTTTTCGACGTAAATGTGTGGGTTTTCATTGCTTCATGATACCCACCGTTATTTTTGACTAGCTCAAAAGGCACAAAAAAAAGACCCAAAAATTACAACATTTGTTTTGCCCAATTACAGATTATAGATGTGGTGTATTTGCAGCATATACAAAAAGAAAGGTTAACACATGTATGTGCTACAGCTTCATAGCCTTGTGAACTGTTGTTTTATGGAAAACTAAAGGCTATTTAGTGTGAATGCATACAAATTGTAGTTTTGGATTTAATTGAATTAATTAAATATTATCAGATAACTATGGTAGAGTTCTTTACAAGAGTGACTGAATCCTTAATCTTATGCATTGTGCAGTCACGACTAGCAATAGGATCAGCAGAAACACATTTACAAATAGTTTATAATAAACCTCTGTATTGTCTTTTGTAAATAATAATCAGTTCTCACACCCTTAATCTGAACTTTATAACAGAACCAAAGGAGGTAGAAATGTTAGACATGGAGCTTATTAGATTTCCACAATATCTTCACTTTTCTACCATAACACTTAAAGAAGTCAATATCATCACTTATCCACGCTGCAGAGTTAATACCTTTTAATACCTTTGTGGATTTCCTCACTGCCTCACAAAGGTGGCTGTATTATATGAAACTGAGAAACACATTGTATTAAGAGTATGGGGGTTTAAGAGATGGGTTCAATTAGAGTGAAAAATAGGTGTAATAAGAGTTGGAATCAGTGTTTGAGTGGAAAGCGTGTTAACAGTCATTAAATGTTCTAGATACTGAGGTTACATAAATAAAACTGATCTGCTGTACAGATATTAATATTTAACCAAAACATAAGTCAAGTGTGTTTACAGAACTACAAGCATGATAAGTACATTTGGGGTAATCATTTAGGCTTCAAAGGAAGTGAATATTCCAATAATCATTGAGCAATAGTTACACTGGGAGCAAAAGGTAGTTGCTGGGTCACCACTTCAGCTTAAAATCGAGGTAATTTGGATTAAACCAGGAAGTTTGATACTCTGCTGCATCGGATGGAGAGCCGACACCAGACATGTTTGAAACTTCCCTTAGGAACTACGAAATAGTGCAGAAGTAGCGTAAATGTTTGTATGATGCAATGCAGTTAAAGGCAACCGGCAAGTCTCCAGAGCTACCTTTAGGCTTTAGTTGAACTTGCTTCCTCATTTCCTAAAATAGAGCTTGGGCTTTAATGGCACATGAGGGAAAGTATTGTTTTACATACCATTAGCCACATAGGGTTGTTCGTGCCCTGAGAGGAGTGATTATGCATAAGGATTTGATGATGAAAAGTCCCTCCTGCAGTACATTGTGCATAAGCAGATTCAGCAGCCACATCAATGTTCATACACCGTACACAAAGTAATGACGGGCAGCGTAACAGCCAAACAATCACTGTCCTGCTGGGTTTACCTTTTTAAAAGATTCTAAAATAGCAATAGGAGAGTGTCCGAGGTCTGCAAATTCAACTGCCAATCTCAAGTTAACCATGATATAGGCAATTTCCTGACACTACCCGTGAATTAATGATAGCAAGGGGATTAGACTGTCGGTGTATTTGTATCCACTGTGAGAAACCTTTATCCAATAAACCCTGCAGCTTGCTCTGACATCTTCTTTGTGATAGGCGCATGTTTTGGTTGTGAAATAAACGAGACAAGAGGAAAAATACAGCAAGCCGAGCTGTGAAGAGGGAAGAAACTGTGTGTGTGTGTGTGTGTGTCCCACACTCACTTCCTCAGTTTTCTTGGTAATTACTGTTGACCTGAAAGATGATTGCTGCTACAGCTGTACTCCCCCTCTCTCTCGCCTGCTCACTCACAGTTAGTTCTGTCTTCCTGCCTCATTCTCACTTTCTGTCTCTGTATCTGCACACTGAATCGCACACTTTAACTTAGTGCTAAAATTCATCCTCACACCTAATTTCTCATTACCCATTGCACCATTGAATTTACTTGACAGAGAAATGTGATGAGTATATGTCTGTTTCTCTTTATCTAATTATATATTCTTTTTGAAAATGAATCCTGCCTTGATAAACCAATTACGTACTGAACTTTCAGAAAAAACAACAACAATTTATCCAGTTAAATGTATTATGTAAAATCTTGATATCACACAAGACGGGTCCAAATTACTGTGCATTAAAATTCATATCAGGTGCTACTTATACTATGCAAATACCAGAGAAATTCACACTCTGCTATGCATATGAGCAATTGTGTATGTGTGTGTGTGTGTGTGTGTGTGTGTGTGTGTGTGTGTGTGTGTGTGTGTGTGTGTGTGTGTGTGTGTGTGTGTGTGTGTGTGTGTGTGTGTGCGTGCGTGCGTGCGTGTACAATAACAGTTCCAGAGGACCAAGGTCACTATGCTAATTAGAGAGATGGTACCACTGGCAGTGACACTTCACACCTCCCTCCCATCCTCTCTCCCCTCCACGTTGTCCTTGGACCCTCCCGACAGTCTTTCCCCTTCTCTGTCTTTCTTTTTGTATACCTCCTCTTATTCCCTCTTTCTTTGGCCTAGTTTGTTCTCTTCATCTACTCTCCTCCCCTTTCACCAACCTCCTCACCCTTTCTCCTCTTTTTTTGTTGTCCCACTCCCTCCTCCCTTGTTTGTCTGCAGCAGGTGCTGCAATGCCTCCTCCAGAGTCATTAGTTACAGGGTTGAGTGAGGACAGATAGTGAAGGATAGAGAGAGAAAGAGGGGGGGGAGTGTGTGTGGGTTGATAGAGGAAGGTTTGATGAAAGACAGGACGCACGCAAACATAAAGTAAACTTTGTTGCATGTCATTCATCAACGCTGATTAAACCCTTCGGTCAGTCCAGTTGTGTGCTTTCCTTCTTCCTTGCGTGTGTGTGTGATGGGAGCCAGATGCCTGATGTTCCGCCTGCATCTGCCTATATTCTGTAAGCGTGAGTGTGTGTGTGTGTGTGTGTGTGTGTGTGTGTGTGTGTGTGTGTGTGTGTGTGTGTGTGTGTGTGTGTGTGTGTGTGTGTGTGTGTGTGTGTGTGTGACAGCAGCGGGTTAGTGATGGGAAGAGGATGACAACAGAGCCGACTGACACATAAAAAGATGAGAGGAGACAAAAACACAGACAGGAAGACGTTTGCATCTCTCTTTCTCACCCTGCTTTCTGCTTGTCTATCACTCTCTCCTCTCTTTCTGTCTTCAAATTGTGCGCCTTCTTTTTTTCACCTCTTCTTTTCCTCACATCCATCTTTCACCCCTGCTTGTTCAAATGTGTGTGCTTTTTTCTTATGTTTTTTCTGTTTCTACATTTCTTTGTCCTGCCTTTCTAAGCCAGATATAATACAGTATGCTTTTAGAGGCCAGTAAATATAATGTGGAATGTGGTCGCGCTCTGCTTTCTAAAGCATGTCTGTTACAGAGTATTATTTGAAACAGTAAGACCTAGAGTTATTGTGCTGCTGTGATGTTTCTTCTGCTTTACGGTGTGATGTGAATTTAAAACCTTTAGTTTTACCTACTGAAACATTATGCATTACAAGGATACAAAAGCTTGTTGTTATGCAGCGATAGAAAATAAGTGTTGCATGCATTTAACCCTGCAAGCTTGTCAGAATATTAAATACTAAAACAGTTTTTGAGTAAGAAGTAATAAAGTGTTATGACACTGCAGTTGTGGTCATTATTTGTTTAGATTTTCAGAAAGAGTTGGAATCAATTATCGTAAATGTTTGTTGAAACAGCCAACTTGGACATGTGGTTTCAACTTCTGTGGTGTGCTTCTCTCTGGAGAATGACAAAAGGTATAGTCATAGTGAACAAGTGTTGATGCAAGAAGTATTTTTCACTTTTTCAAATTGGACCACACATCATCACTAGCTCTAGCAGTCCCTTCAAATCATTCAACATTTAGAAGAACCCAAATGACTTATGTATTCCACTCAGAGAGAGCTAACAAGAAACAAAGGAAATGCTAGTTAGCCTAGCTTGCTTACATAAGCACTATTCCCCAAGAAATGTGTTTTTCTGTACTTTAAACGCAGCTGAACATTATTACAAAAGTATGATATTGCATAACTAGACAAAAAATGTATTGGGCAAGAATCTGGGAATTTGTCATCTTTTTTATGCTGGACTTCTACTTACAATATCAAAGGAAACTATCACAAAATAATTATTCTAAATTATAGCCAATATCATACAACATACAGAAATGTGTGTTATGCAACGATCCGGCCATAGTTAAAGCCCATAGGAAATGTTCCCTTACAACAGTATTTAAATTAGTCAAGGATGCACGTTCTTTTAAATATATTTAAAACTTGTCCTCCCTTATGTGCTCCATCCTTGTGTCTTGTTCAAGGCATGGTTGACATTGTAAAATATAGATAATGAATCATGTCGGGTTTTGGAGTAGAGGACAGTGTTGCCAAGGACGTGTGTGTGCATGTGAGTTCACAGCACCTCCAAAGTAAAGGCTCTGAGTGTGTGTGTGTGTGTGTGTGTGTGTGTGTGTGTGTGTGTGTGTGTGTGTGTGTGTGTGTGTGTGCGCACGCACTTGCTGTACCCCTGTGTGTTTTTGTGAGGGCCAGACCACCTCTGGTCCAACAAAAGCAGAAGGAGGCCAATGAGCGGAAGGAGGAAAGAAAAGGCAGGGAGAAGAGAGCAGAGGGAGGGAGCCTAGTGAGTGAAAGCCAATCGAATTAAATGTAATCTGGCCTGAATGTGCGCAACCATCAGCTGCTCTCAAATCTTATTAACCCTGCATTACCAGCCCTGGATTGTGTGTGCGTGTCTGCGAGTGCATGTGTCTTTTTATGTTAGTGTGTCTGGAGGAGGGAGAAAGATGGAGGAGCGAGAAAATAAAAGGAATAGATG